TACGCTTGGTATTTACTCAACAAAAAAATTGTTAGATAAATTTGTGTAATACGTGTCGATAAATATGATTTATAAATGCATCTATTCATATACATATATATATGCACATATTTATATTATATACAAGGTTTAACTAAAATAACGCTCACTAAGCGTACAGTACTTTTCCTTTTATATATATAAAAAGCTGAATCAATGTGCCTAGCTGAATCAATGCCTCTAATATTTTGCAATTTTCGCAATAGTTGACGAGATAGTAATTTCTAAAGATTACTAAAACGGATAAAATCGATGAATAAAACAATATTAAGATACCTTTTAGTATTCTTTGTGAAATATTTTGGAGACGTTTCTTGAAGAATTCTTCAAAAAATATTTTAAAGTTGTCTTGTATACGTTAATTTTTGTTTTAGTATGATTTTGTATTTCTGAGATATAATATTTTAAATATAGATCTTTTCCCATATAATACATGAAGAAGTCATTTTATTTCATCTTCATTCTGTATTATATGGAAGTAAATTCATTTGTACTTGCATTCACCGATTTATTGTAATATATCTATTATATATATATACATATAATCGGATCACAATAAATCTAAATGAAATATGAAATAGACATAATATAATATAGCTCTTTTTAAATTAAACGCATAAAAAGCAAAATTTTACTGAATAAAAACAAAATGCAATTTAAAGCCAAAAATAGCCGTTTGATTCTTTAACGTAAATGTAAGTATACTGTAAAAAAAGATGGAAATTACAAAAAGAAATAAATACATTAAATAACTACGTTTATATTGATTAGTATAGAACACTATATGAAGTACTTATTAACTTAATTATTACAAATAAATGTAACTTAAGTAAGTTAGAGAGATATAAGTGAAAAAAAAGAAGTTAGATACTCTTACTGAAAAATGACTCTAACTGTATTTCATTACAGATAATGAATTACCACTCAACCTTGATAGAAATATAATTTGTGTTTCTTAGGCCCAGTTGCATCAATGTTACTTTAACTTTAAACAAGGCTTAAAATTTTCTGTGTCTCTGTCTGTCTTTTGCTTTAAAGCGAGACAGGAAGCGTTTTAAGCCTCGCTTAACGTTAAAGGAACAGGTCTTATACAAACTTCTATAATTAAACTGTTGTCTCAGTGTAATAGAGAGAAATGAACCTGATTCAGAGCTGTCCTCGTCATAATTCACATATGCGTATGTATGCATCCTGTCTGTGAGTATCGTATAAATTTATATGTGAAAACACTATGTTAATCATAATAGAAATTATCACAAATGCGAAATTTCGTTGCAAACTTTTCATTCATCAGCTTTTTAATATAAGTATATTATAGAAAATAATATAAATAACATTAATTTGCAGTGTAATAAATATCTTTTTAAAAAAAAGATTTAAAAAAGGCGCCAAATTTACGTGTATCTCCTGTAAACCCATAAAAAAGTGTTATATAAACTAAAAAAAAAAACGTTACATAAATCATATAATTCAAGTAATAATATT